TTGTCCCAAAGTTAGAACTTTGGCCACATACTTCAAACAAACATCTCCAAATTATCAAAAGTCCAACAATCACATGCCTCTTTTATGACTACTCTTGAATGACACCATTTACTTTGTTGTGATCATCGCAACCATCTTTTCTATCAATAAAATTTAAGCAATTGCAGAAAAAAAAAATAATCAACTTATGTGGACACATCTAAGATCTGTTATCGACCCACCCTTGGTCTGATCGATGCAGATATGTGCGAGCGTGCAACTTAGTAACGATGGACTCTTGTCTAAGTATTTCTCTCTATTAACATATCACAAAGTTAGGAGAAAAATAATTAAAAAAAATGAATTTAATGCTTTGAATAATTTTTATCATCTTCTTTTTATACTCGGTATGGGCAACCGAGCATCTAGTGTGTAAGAAGGTGCCACTGCCACCACACCACAGTCCAAGACCCAATTCTAAAAACCGACATTAATTAAAAGAGTTCATGGTAAATATCAAAACTTGACCTTTGGATTTGCTCTGTTACTCTCCAATTACTTATAATAATATCCTATGTTGATAGAAAACATGCATTCATATCAAGTATATAAACCAATAATTACAGGTGTAAACGAGTCATGTCGAACTCAAGCCACCCTCAACTTAAGCTTAACTTTAATGAATTAATTGAGTTTAAGGAGCTTACTTTATAAGTTTGAGCTGACTTCTTTATTACTAAAGAGAAAAAAAAAATCAATTCAAGTCAGCTTATAATAAAATAATTGATAAAATGAGTAATTATGACGAGCGATTGAAAAATGAGGGCTTTCATACATGATATAAACCCAAATATCGGCTGATTTATAAGCTCAAAATTCAGTCAATAAATGTTATCAACTGAAATTTGACAGAAAATCTGTGTGTGGGAAAATAAAATCGGCTGAAATTTTAGTTGGTAACATTTTCCGGCTGAAGTTTTAGCTCGTAAACTTGTCACTAAGTTAAATGTATCATTTCTATCGGTTTTTCAGCCAGCAAATTACCAGTAAAATCAGCCAATAATTCTAAGGGTAAACATCCACTTATTTTGTAATGACTTCTCGTCTTTGGGCAACTTGGTCAGTATAGGTGATATTCTTGTGATAACATTTAGTCTCCTCCACGTAACATAATTCCTTAATTATATAGTTTTATTGTAATACTTGGGCCCTCTCATATTTATAAGCAACAAAAAATAAAGGAGATTAAGGTTAGTGAGTTTGTAACTTCTTTTACACCTTTAGAATCAAGCCATGGATGTATTGGATTCATTCAGGCTACTCTTGAGTTACCCGAGTTATTTTCTATATTTGCTCTGGGATAAGGGGACCTCCTCCAATTCATGATGCTTTGGAATTGAGATATTTCATATAATAACTTTTGGAATTACTTTTAGCCCAATCTGAAGTCATTGGGTCTTTTCGAAGTATTTCTAGGATTTTGTGTGTGTGGCTAGCCGGGCCATAAGCCAAAAAGTCCAAGTAAGGCACGACGTCGCTGTGCCAATGTTGGGCATTGAGGCCCTATAAATGAAATGATCAAATGTGCATCCACTGCTAGCTACCATCGTTTATAGTATCATGAAATTGGGATCAGGTGCCACTGCGTGCATTCCACAAAATTCAATAAGAGCTAACACCCTAGTTCCTCAAATGATGGGGGGCATTGTGGCACTAATGTTGGGCGCCGTGGTGCCCCGCCTAAAATGATATTTATGATCATCAGAAGGAGTTATTGTTTGGGCTTGATTCAAGGCGCCGTGATTGGCGCCGTGGCGCCCAAACATATATAAATAAAGGATGAACCCAAACACTTCCATAACGTTAATTTATGACAACATGACCTTATAGTTTTATCTCTTTTTTCTATAATTCGCTATCAAAAGATGCCACACCAACACGCTTGCACAGTAAGGCCAGGGACCAATCGCGCTTCCCTCCTTAAAAGTGATTTTAGGCTCTGTTTGACACAGCTGTGGTTTATTTATAATCTGCTGATAAACAGATTATTCTGTTAATCTGATAATTTACAGATTATCAGAATAATCTGGTTTGTTGTTTGGGGCAGCTTATTAGTAGTTAAATGACATTCCTGCCCCAGTCTGATAAACTGTTTGGGGCAGCTTATTCAGAATAGCTTATTGATAGAAAAGAACATGGTGCAGAAACATACGATAATCACAGATCAGTTCTAAAAGATACCATACAGTTCTTACACCTTAATGAGTACCAGGAGAACTAAAAAAAAAGACAAATACAAGTACAACATCAAGGAGAAATATTGAAATATTCAACTTAAGACTCTGGCTACGTCGGTCCCCCTCTGGCCTTGTAAATGCCCCCACTATTTTTTTTTTATTTCTAAATCCTACTACACTATTTTATTGCAATATAATTTGCGTATTTACTTTTTTTTAAAAAAAAGAAACCAATGAACCAAATATAATTTGACTAGGCCCAAATTTTTGTCATTTTTAGGTGGACCCGGTCAGATACATGTGACAAGATTTTATTGGTGTCCAGATGCAGCCGTAATTGACATTTTCTTTTCTATTTTCGGGGCTATTATCAAATTTTTTTATATGAAAATATTGTTCGGAAAAACTAGAAATCATAAATTTATAAATTTTAAAATGATGGCGGAATAACATTATTAAAGATAGGTAATTGGAAATAGATATTGAAGGACAAAATTAAATGGTATGAATTTAAACTTATAATCTTATTAAAAGAAAACTTGGTTGATCAACAGCCACAAATAGCATCTGTGATAGACTCCCTTAAAGCAATCATATCAGCCAAACTTTCAGCATCTTGATCTTCAAAATCATTAGATTCTATATCCTCCTCAGGTAATGAACGCCCCCCCTTGGCAACGGATTTACTTCTGAATTTAATGTGGTTGTAGGCTAAATCTTACGGGACGATGATTTTGGGTAAAATAAAGTCGTGGATTTGATGAATCTGAATTTCACGAGTCTCGCATAAATTTGAATTTCACGAATTTCGCCCGTGAATCTCAGATTTACTAAATCACACGAATATGTAGATTTAACATCACTGGATGAATTTTTTTAGGATTTAATTAAAGTTATTTAACCCATTCATGATTGAGTAAATCAAGATTTATCGAATTTACTAAATCCTAATACCTTAAATCTCATCCGTTGCCAGGCAACAACTTAGAATTTGATGAATTGTTTTACTATTCATATAAGTCCTTTAGATTAAAAAAAAATTTAATACTTTAAATAATTAATATTAATTATTAATGGCAATTTAATTTTAAATTAATACATTTATATCTTATTATAAATCTCCTCTCATATTTTCTTCTTTTAACTCACACCATGCCAATCTTAATTATCATAAGATTAAATCTTCATTAATCATTACCTAATAATTCCTTAAACTAGCCCCATAATGTTTTTATTTAATCAAAATAAACAAAACTAATATCAACCTAATAAAATAATAAAATAAAAAATTTTGTCATCACAAAAATCAGCAAAAAATTTATGCATAGTAAAAAAACAGAAAAATTTGTGTACGTAATATGCACGCAGCGTTGCGTACGTAATCCGCATTATGCCCCTGTAACTCCCATTAACTTATCTGTATCTTCTAATAAATTCTGCGCTTCTATTTTCATATATTTGTAGGTTACAGATAGATGAGATTAAAAGGAATTTACAAGAGTATAATGCGGATATAACCCCCCAAATAACCTCTCTGACCTAACCAACGCTGGCTGCTTACGCAAATTTTTCTCGTAAAAAAAGAAACTCACCGTCGTCGCCGAAGATGTTCATCACGAGGAAGGTGGGGGCTACATGCATCGTCACCATCTCCGTTTTCTCTGAAGAGCACGAGGAGGGGAGAGAGGGAGTGAGAGAGAGAGCTTTTATGGAGCATGGTTTGCAGAGAGCAATCTGTACAGCAGTGCAGAGAAGCGCCTCTCTCGCTCTAGGGTTTTCGAGATCTGTTAGGTGGCGGCAGGCTTGTGGCAGCAGGGTGGAGACAAGTTTTCCTTTTGGCGGTTTTTAAAATTTTAGTCTTAAAATATTAATATAAAAATATTTTAAATTTTTGTGCTCAATCATTTGAAAAAAAAAATAAAATAAAAAAAAACTTTTTTTTGATTGATGCAATTTCTAATTCCACAATGCATTGCTTGCTTTGGAGCTTCTGGGTGCTTTTTCATATGATGCAACATTTTCAGCATCTATTTCATTGAGATTGAGATGATATGTTATTTAATAAATGTATATAGCCTGCCAAAATTATTGAGGAAGAGGAGTTTATAACCAATTTATAACAAACCTCAGTTTTTTCAATGTTAATAAGCTCAATTTAAGTGTCATTTAACTAGCATGGCCTTTGAAACATGTGCCCTTGATGTATGTTTTTCTCATAACATTACCTTTTGGTGAAAGATGATGCAAGATCAAATTTCATGAGGCTTGGTAGCTTTACTAAACTTTGTAAGGCAAAATAAGAGAAACATAAATGATAGTATCTTCTCACAAAATGCTCAATCCATTACATAAAAGTTAGTGATTATCAGATGAAAAGGCATTTGGCGATCACTAATTTTTTTATGGATAATATAGATTATCGGGTGATTTTTTGCGTGGTTGATAAAATATTTCTGCCTCAGAAAGACTTTCTGATTAACAAAATGAACGACTGAAAAAATTGGATGGTGACTTGTTAACAGCTAAAAAATCAATCGCTCTAAACATGAAAATTTTACGCACGAGCAATAATATAATCAAGTAATTAAAAACCTATTTTCATAACATCTCATAACAACATCGATAAATAAGTAGAAACAACTTTATTGAATGAAATCATAATACATATAATAATAAATGTAAGAAAACATTTCAGTACAATAGTGAATGAAATTCAAATGAATATATTCTACAAACACAAAAACAAAACATAATTGCCCTCAATTATTGGTTGCTTGCCACGACATATAGTTGCTTCAAGCCTCTCGACCCTGACATCCCTAGCTTGCTCTGCCGCCTTCATCCTCCATATAAGGAAGCTCAGCAATGAAGCTAGCCTACAACTCCTCAGCGAGTGCGTCCACATGCACAGAGATTTCATCATCAATGGAGGGTGAATTATGACCAGAACAAAGTGATACACCTTATAGAAAAAATTGAGTATGTGCCTAGGCCGTAGACCCTCGCGTTCTTTCTTCCTCTAGTAGTTTCCCTTCAAATCTCAAGGTCTGGGTGGTTAGACTGATCATTAGAAATGCCAGCTCGTGTCGGGTTCTGACTCTCTGCATCCCTCAGGTGCACATACTCCACCTACAAAAGATTATAAATGGTAGTTAGCGTAGAAATAAGATGATATATACAAATTACAGAAAAAAAAAAAATCAACTTATGTGGACACGTCTAAGATCTGTTATTGACCCACCACTGGTCTGATCGATGCAGATATGTGTGAGCGTGCAACTTAGTGACAATGGACTCTTGTCTAAGTATTTGTCTCTATTAACATATCACAAAGTTAGGAGAAAAATAATTAAAAAAAATGAATTTAATGCTTTGAATAATTTTTATCATCTTCTTTTTATACTCGGTATGGGCAACCGACCATCTAGTGTGTAAGAAGGTGCCACTGTCCCCAGAGTCCAAGACCCAATTCTAAAAACTGACATTAATTAAAAGAGTTCATAGTAAATATCAAAACTTGACGTTAATATTTGCTCTGTTACTCTCCAATTACTTATAATAATATCCTATGTTGATAGAAAACATGCATTCATATCAAGTATATAAACCAATAATTACAGGTGTAAACGAGTCATGTCGAACTCAAGCCACCCTCAACTTAAGCTTAACTTTAATGAATTAATTGAGTTTAAGTTCGAGCTTGAGCTTACTTTATAAGTTTGAGCTGACTTCTTTATTACTAAAGAGAAAAAAAAAATCAATTCAAGTCAGCTTATAATAAAATAATTGATAAAATGAGTAATTATGACGAGCGATTGAAAAATGAGGGCTTTCATACATGATATAAACCCAAATATCGGCTGATTTATAAGCTCAAAATTCAGTCAATAAATGTTATCAACTGAAATTTGACAGAAAATCGGTGTGCAGGAAAATAAAATCGGCTGAAATTTTAGTTGGTAACATTTTCCGGCTGAAGCTTTAGCTCGTAAACTTGTCACTAAGTTAAATGTATCATTTCTATCGGTTTTTCAGCCAGCAAATTACCAGTAAAATCAGCCAATAATTCTAAGGGTAAACATCCACTTATTTTGTAATGACTTCTCGTCTTTGGGCAACTTGGTCAGTATAGGTGATATTCTTGTGATAACATTTAGTCTCCTCCACGTAACATAATTCCTTAATTATATAGTTTTATTGTAATACTTGGGCCCTCTCATATTTATAAGCAACAAAAAATAAAGGAGATTAAGGTTAGTGAGTTTGTAACTTCTTTTACACCTTTAGAATCAAGCCATGGATGTATTGGATTCATTCAGGCTACTCTTGAGTTACCCGAGTTATTTTCTATATTTGCTCTGGGATAAGGGGACCTCCTCCAATTCATGTTGCTTTGGAATTGAGATATTTCATATAATAACTTTTGGAATTACTTTTAGCCCAATCTGAAGTCATTGGGTCTTTTCGAAGTATTTCTAGGATTTTGTGTGTATGGCTAGCCGGGCCATAAGCAAAAAAGTTCAAGTAAGGCACGACGTCGCTGTGCCAATGTTGGGCATCGAGGCGCTATAAATGATCAAATGTGCATCCACTGCTAGCTACCATCGTTTATGGTATCATGAAATTGGGATCAGGTGCCACTGCGTGCATTCCACAAAATTCAATAAGAGCTAACACCCTAGTTCCTCGAATGATGGGGCATTGTGGCACTAATGTCGGGCGCCGTGGTGCCCCGCCTAAAATGATATTTATGATCATCAGAAGGAGTTATTGTCTGGGCTTGATTCAAGGCGCCGTGATTGACGCTGTGGCGCCCAAACATTTATAAATAAAGGATGAACCCAAACACTTCCATAACGTTAATTTATGACAGCATGACCTTATAGTTTTATCTCTTTTTTCTATAATTCGCTATCAAAAGATGCCACACCAACACGCTTGCACAGTAAGGCCAGGGACCAGTCGCGCTTCCCTCCTTAACAGTGATTTTAGTCATGAGATTTCTGACTCCAGCTCCACATCAGTAGCCCTTAGGGTCCAAAGTTCTCTTGCCAAGCACGCTTGGCTTACCTACAAGGAGGAGACTTGTTGTGCCCTGACATCCTAAAACCTCTTCGGATTGAGAGACAAGATCGACAACAGAACCGCCGTCTAGACGAAAACTTGAAGATCTCACAGGAAGATTAAATTGTATGTTATGTTGGCTTAAGGGCAGTAGTAGGATGTGTTGGCCAATTGGCATGTGGATGCCTACGAGAGGTGGGAGAGGGAGCTCCAACATTCCTTTCAAGCTCATGTTCCGAGGAGAGGAACAAGTTGAGGGAGAATGGCAATGAGGTTGGAGGCAGATGGTTGGTCGATCCTTTTAGACCGCATGATTTCTCCGCCCCTTTTATTCTTGTATATATGTTTCCTTCTTTTTCGTTTGAATGCATGGGACGTGTCACATGTTGTATCTATTAATGGGTCTGTGTAATCCCCATTTTTTGAGTTTATTAAAACAACATGAACTTTTGTCATATCTTCAGTTGATGCTTTATCACGTGTTGTATTTATTAATGGGTCTGTGTAATTCCCATTTTTTGAGTTTATTAAAACAACATGAACTTTTGTATATTTGATGCTTCATCTTTATAGATGGCAGACCAAGGGACTCGATGGAAGGTTATTGGATTGACCTCGTGGTTAATTTTAAGGGATCAATAAGCTTTCTTGCCCTCCTCTCATTGAATTTTTGGTGTGTGAGTTCTTCTCCACAGCTCATTCTCAAGTCCTTCTAATTTTGACCAAGTTTCCTTTGCTGGTGGCGGTGCTCTCCACAGCTCATTCTCAAGTCCTAATTTTGACCAAGTTTCCTTTGCTGGTGGCGGTGGTTTCGCTTTCCTTGGAGGAGTTCGAGGAGCTATTCTTGGAGCTTTTGAGCTGAGAAACCTCGTCAAACTTCGCATAGTTTAGTTTTTTTCTACTCCGACTTCTTTCTTTTTCTGGGTGTTGACCTCACTTTTGTGAGGACTTCCTTCCTCTCTATAAAAGTCTGGAATCTAGTTTTAGGGTTTCCTAGTGACTTTTTTAAATGCATAAAAATGGGATAACATCTATATAGGACCTCAAACCGACATCTACATAGGACCTTTTTGACAAAAGGTATTATGTATCTCCCAACCTAAATCATTATTACTAGCCTTTCTTGCATGCACCTATTTCATAGAAAAGATAATATAATTAACAAATTGTATCATACGTGGCATCTTTCTCATCATATCAATTACAACATCTACAAAGTTTTCATATAGATTAAAGTGGTGCAATTCACAAAATATAATAATATGATCAATCATATGCATCAATCTTAATAAAAAAAATTATAATAACTCTACATATTACCACTTTTGTGCCGAAATATTATGGCGTAGCCTTTTGATTATCTTCTTAAAAAAATTATAATAACTCTACAAGTTACCATTTTTTGAGAAAAATATGCCTATGAAAAAAGAGACGAGTTAAGAAAAATCAATATATTTATACTAATATGTGGAAAACAGCTAAAATACCATAAAACATAAGAAAGTTTTATGTTGAAAGTTTTCAAGATATCATGATATCACAATATTTGTAATTTTTCAATAAATAAAAATGTTAAAACTGCACAAAATCAAAATCATTGAATTCATAGGTATGATAACAGTAGCCAACCTTGGGACTTTCAACTTCCTCTCACCCTCTATTTCTCTCGCATTCTCTTTGGCCTTCAAGGTTTGGGGGAAAAGGAAGTTAATGAAGACTTTAGATGGGGGAGTGAAACTTACATCAAAATAATGCCATGGTAAACTCATAAATATGCAAATTATTTGGTTTTATTATATAGTTCCTGTAAATTATGCTTTATCTTGGAATCCAAAGCTCCAAAATAATGAAAAAAATCATAAAATAGCTTAATTATAACTAGTAACACACATAAAAACAACTTATAATACAAATGTCAAACGACTCCATAAAATTCATTCATATCTACATATATAAAATTTTTCAACAAATTTAACTAAACTATTACTATTGTTTTTTCGTACTTACAATTCTTAGTAATATATATATATATATATATATATATATAATCATACACTTAACAGTATTGTGGTTAATTCCTGAAAATGTTGTACTGTTGGATATTACACAAACTTACATTAAATTTGTCTTTTCAGATTTTTTTTCATACCAAAAGATGGCTTCTTCAACTCAAATTACATGCAGACCACCCTAAACATTGCTAATTATAAACCAACCACCCTCTTTCATGCATTTTTCAAATTCTCACTCAAATATCCAAATTCATGGTAAAACCCCAATCCGTATCTTTCATTTTTATCAAATTCTCAATAGTCTCATCGTTGTACGCGTAAATACATCCGTTCGGTTGTTCAAAAAAGTCATATAGATGTAGGGTTGTTAACGATCTGATTTCGAGCGGAGCCGGGGTTGGGTCAAAATTGGCTCGAAACAAAATTGATCCAAAATTTTGACTCGCAGCTCGACTCGTTTATTTCAATCCGATCTCGATCAAGCGAAGATTCAAATCAATTTTCGAGCGATTAACATTCTTTGATCTAAATTTGCTAACTTCACAACCCTAACATCACTAGTGTTGTGAACGACTCGATCTCGGGCTGAGTTGGGGTTGACACAAAAAGATTCTATCAAAAAATTTAGCTCGTAGCTCGGCACATATATTTCAACCCGGGCCAAAATTCAAATCAATTTTCGAGCAATTAATGATCTCCGAACTAAATTCACAGCCCTGCCAACATTTTTAATGCGTAAATATCAATGTTTGGGGGTGGTCTCTATAAAAAGCGCCACACTTTAAAGTTTGAACAGCATATTATATATCTGTTAGGCCGTTGCACAAAGTTCTCCGCCCAAACCTCTTCGTTTGTCCTCGTCAATGGCGAAGCAAATCAGTACTGAGAGAGATGGCAAAAAGCCGGACTTGGAGCTCCAATTTCTCGACACGTATTTACTTATTTCTTCCTTCTCCTCTCCTAAAAGCAGCTCTCCATTTCATTTTATCTCTCGCCTTCTCTTCTCTCGAGACAAGTCCAGCTTCTGTTTCAGTGTGTGGAGTAACTCTGCAGGTTAGGTTTTCTATCTTTCACTTATGTCACTGTTTCCAGTTCTGCAATTTTTCTTTTACATTTGTTACAGACTGGATTTTGAAAAATAAATTATAGTTTTTTTTTTTTTATTTTATTCCGAGCATGATGTTATATAAATGCTTTTGCTAATGGTATTTTCATTTTTATAAATATCTTCATCACTAATGTCATGAATGCCGATTGCCGTTGACCTTGATAAGGTTTAGGGTTTCGAGCCAAAACGAGTCGAACACGAACGTACAAATCTTTATTTGCGTTGTTCGTGTTCGGCTTGTCGAGCTTCTTAATGAGTTGAACACGAGCTGTTCACGAACAACGAGCCGTTTTGACAGCTCTAGACACTCGACTGACACCAACATTAATAATTAATGTCTTATCAATGTCGATGCTTATGTCAATACCAACTAATTCTAATATAATCGACGCATATTGTTAGCATTTGATAGTAGCTCTCTTTTAATTATTTGGATGATTACTTTTATTAGTTAGTGATAGAAATTAAATTTCTATCTTCAAATCATTTGTTTTCGCCTTAAAAATCCTGAGTTCTTGTGCTTGATCTTGGCACCTTGTCATTGTTCTAATACGCTGAGCTCTGCAGCTTATTAGAGTATTCACCATGCATGATATTGTTTAGTGATTACCGGATGGTCAGTGACTACTTGTACTAAGTGTGTTTGGAAGTACAACTCAAGTCTCTCCTAACTATAACAATTAAAGCTGAAGCAGACAAATTTTATAATTGGATATCTTTACTTGATGCCCCTCAGAATTTTACTAACATTATAAATCTAATGCCATTGTCTTTCTTCATTCCTCAATTTTAGTTATGAGATATGTATGTGTAAACAAATAGGAATTAGGTGGTATGTATTTAAATATTCCTATATTTTTTTTATGGAAAATAAGTCTTCTCTATTTTGCGAGCCTTGAAGTAATGATGGTGAAGATACTTATTGTTTTGACCATATGAATACATTTTCACAATCATCTTTTTAGGATAAATATTTAGCACTTCTTACTAACTCGAATAACGTTAAACATTTGTCGCTCGACTTACAGATAAATCTGCTCAATTCAACAATTGGTAATAATAACTTCAGGTATGAGTAAGAAACAATGAACTTTCAAGATACAACTCCAAAAGCATATTCCAAAAGATTAAGTTTCATATTATATTTTCTGAAAGTTTCTTTTAGTTTTATTATATGTTGTTCAAGAGTTCTATTTATTATCAAGACATCATCAATTTATGGCTCAAGATTTCTTCAATTGATAAAAACCCAATGCATAACGAATGGACATTCCCTCTAACCCTGAGCCAAGGAGGCATGAGCTGGCAAGCTCTAAGGCCTTCACTACAAGCATCTCCTTCAGAAAAATGAATAACTAAACTCCTTGGTGGCTTACTTAATTCTTGTCATATTTGTTTAGTGGCGCATGTAAATTTTTCAATGGCTTATGTGCACTAACAAACTGAGTAATAAACATTCTTTTGAATTAAGAAAGGGATGATTACACCTAATGGAAGGCAAATAAACCACCAAAGGGCTGACACCTTCAAAGTTATTAAAAGTTGATGGCATTTTAAAGCATTATCAATTTCGGACAATGAAATAAAGAGCTGATTCAAAACCAGAAACATCGAATCTCAATTGGATCCATTCTTCCCCTGTAAGACTCGAAACGTAGAATCTCAAATTTCTCCATAGGATGGGCCTCTGTGATTTCCCAGGGAAAGCACTCTCCAATTGCAAGTTTCTCTTCAAAACATTATTCTCCTTCCAACGATATGATTTGGAATTTGTTTCCTTAATATCCATATAGAGGGCATTGCTCTGGTTGCAGATGTTCTTCTTTGTCTTCTTTTATTCACAAAGTCTGAAGACATTGTTGGCAACACTTGCTGTAATACTTCCTGAATCATTAGTGCCATCCTTACTCAGCTCTACAAGTTACCGTCCAGTAAAAAACACTTAATTTTTTCATCCGTGATGATTGATTTTTCTCTGTTAATTCCCACTTCATGGAATGTTCCTCTTCCGGTTTGTAGCATTATATCTTAGAGGATATTAAATCGGGAATAGCTTGTGAATGCACACAGCCGAAACTAGAACACTTCAACAGAGGAAAAGATGGCGGAGAAAAGGCGAAAAGAACAGTAGAGAAACCCTTGGATTTTATTGATTATGACGATACGATACAGAGATTAATTGCCTCAAGTTGTGTACCTTGAATTCCAACACTATACCTTTATTTATCAGTTTAGATTGCCATTCATTATGTTACATAATAAGCGACATAGAAAAAAGTTAAAAAAGTAAAATCTTTTAGAGTGACTTAGAATTTTAGTAGAAATTATAAACCGAGATAGTCATCATATGGATTGGTGAGTGTTTGCTCGTGTCATGCATAACTAAGATGTTATTCGCTACTACCGAGTTGATAAATAAGTATCAACCGTATATGAAATTTGACTAGCACTGCTTGTCTTTTAATTAGAAGAATGATACAATCCGGAACTAAAAACAGCGAATAGATTGCACAAGAGGTAGAGAAACTCAAATTAGGACTAGTACTACTTGTCAGTGGCCATACTATCGCGTCATAGCCTTTCACAATTTTCGATAGTATCTGCTGAGACCTAGGAATCCCCTCAACTCCTTTAAGCTCCTTGGTAGAGGACAGTCCATCATAGCCTCGATCTTGGACACGTCTACTGACTCCTCCCCTAGTAACTGCGTGCCCTAGGAACTCCACTAGTAGCTTTGCAAAGAAACATTTCTTCAAATTAACGTACAAACGGTACTCCACTTGTCTTCCTCTATACGAATGTAGAACAGAATGTCATCAAAGAAGACCAGGACGAATTTCTTGAGGTAAGGCTGAAAATCCCTATTCATGAGGGACTGAAATGTGATTGGGGCGTTGGTGAGGTCAAATGACATCACCAAGAACTTGTAATTTCATGTGTCATGAACGTTGTTTTGTACACGTCAGTTGAATTAATTCTGATCTAGTGGCATCCTGACTTAAGATCAATTTTTGAGAAGATGACTGTCACATACAGCTCATCTAGCAGCTCATTAATTACAAGGATAGGAAATTTATCTAGCATCATCTCACTGTTCAAAGCCCAATAGTCCACTCAAAACCTTCAACTACCATTTTTTTTCTTCATCGACAGAACTAAAATGGAAAACGAGCACACACTAGGTTTGATAATCTCAATCTATAGTATCTCTCGAATCAACTTCTCTATCTCATCATTATAAATCTAAGGATACTGGTATTGTCTAGCACTAACAGGGGGACACCCTTCTTTAATGCAATGGTGTGCTCGTGCTCCCTCGGAGGTGGTAACCCGCTCGACTGCTGAAAGATGTTAGCAAACTCCTGTAAGAGTTAGTAGACCCCCTCAGGAAATTCCGTCGAGTCAAGATATCGGATCTCCTCAATGCTCTGCAAGTCCACCAAAATAGCCTATCCCTGCTCCCCATATCGACTTGACCATAATTTTGAGTTGGATCATTGTTTTCCATAAGCTAGCATCTCCTCTCAGAATTTTGAGCTAGATCATTGTTTTCCATAAGCTAGCATCTCCTCTCAGCATCACCTTCATATCCTCCACCTGGAACTCTATCGTTAGTGATTTCCATTCCACCTTCATCCACCTTCATCTCCCCAAGCTTCTACAGCCACTACATCCCCAGACTCACATCTGTGTTGCCAAGTCCAACGGAAGGAACTTTTCCATCACCTGTAGGCCATGTAGTGTGAGAATAAATCCCTTACAAATCCCCCGACTTTTCTCCAACTTCCCTGTTTTCATCATGATGTTAGAGCTCCCTGTAGCTACAAGCTACAACCCTATTGGAGATGAAGCTATGTGTGGCTTCACTATCCACCAACACGACAATTGATTGTTCCCCAATACGCCCCCTCACTTTCATAGTGTAACTCAGAGTAAATCTCACGACTAAATTGAGGGACACCTCCGCTACATCCAAGTACAGATACTCCTCCTCCACATTTGTGTCCTCCTCCTGAGCTAAAAGGATTTGAAGGGCACATCTGTGTCCTCCTCCTGAGCTAAAAGGATTTGAAGGGCGCACTCCTTGCAAGAATGTTTTAGGGCATACTTCTCGACACATCAATAGCATAATCATTTTGCTCTTCTATCATGCACTCCTGCATTGGCGAGGGGCCTAAAATTGCCCCTTCCTCCTTTAGCATCTCATTCTAAAATGACAGATTTTGGGTCCTCGGTGTCGTGGTCGTCAAGGCACTCTTGTAGAATCCTCCAGTGTTGTTGTCTTTGCTTTTCTTCTTCACTTGTTTCTTGTCTTCCATCATCTGTGAGCTCCATCATTTCCCTCAATCCACGTGAACTCAATTGTCGAATGACTGTTCATATGTCAGGTTTCGGACCATTCAAGAAGTTTCCCTCCAATCCAGCTGCAGAAATACCCCTCAGCAGCCTCGACAAGAGCTCGAATCTCTCCTTGTATTATGTGATTGTCTCCTCCTAAGTCAGAGCGTAGAATTGCTCGTGTAAGTCTCCTTCCCGAATGGCTCAGAAATGTTACAACAAGCAATTCTAAAACTCCTCCCACAAATTTATCGAATACCTGAATTCCATCCACTGAAACCACGCTAGAGTCTTTCCCTCCAAATATAATCTTGCCCACACGAGCTTCTCTTCTTTTGTTAACTCGTTTATCATAAATTATCGCTCCACCAGATACATCCACCTTGTGCATCTTCTCCATCAAAGATCGGCATCTTTAGTTTTCTGACCATGGCCTCTCCACACCAACTTCCTTTTCCTTCGGTGTTTCCCCCTGTGCCTAGGGTAAACTCCCTCCTTCGGTCATAACCATACCCCAATACAGATTCTCCCCTTCCTCCTTCATGCTCTTACGCGCCCCTTGCACCATCCCTCCATTTTTCGACCCAGCCCCTCCCTCCATTTGAGTTTCCCACTGTCGAATGGCTCCGCTATACAGATTCTTGCAACTTGATGTCCTCTCATTCGATGGAGAAGAGAACATCAAGTTTAGATGATGCCCTCCTCGCTGTCCTCTCGTTCGATTTCATTCCCTTTTGACCAGAGATTATCTGATTAACCCTTGGTTAGGGTTTGCAACTGATCTGACCAAAGATTATCTGATTAACCCTTGGTTAGGGTTTGCAACTTTAGCGGTCAACAGGGCCTTAGAGTGCATCTCCATGAGCCTCTCCATCAACTCTCACATTTCCCCAATACTCTCGAATAATTCCTTCATTCGGCTCTCTATGGAAGAAAACCTACCCTACTTCTCCTTCCAGCAAATCCACTTTCTTTGATGTCATCCCTGCAAGATCTTGTGTTGATACCAATTTGATATGATCCGAAAACAAAAACAACGAACAAATAACAAATAGACTGCACAAGAGAGGCAGAGAAATGCAAATGAGGGTTGCTTTTACCAATACTAATGAAAACAAACAAGATATAATGATGATCTACTATTCGAGAGGTAGATCACCTCTCCACAAACCCTACTGACGCTATGAACACCACGAGAAAGAAAAACAACTACAAACAAACAAAACATCAAACAAACCCTAAGTTATTACCCCTAATATAACCCTAGCACAAACATTCCCCCCCCCCCCCCCCCCAAATCTTTAATTTCTCCTCGTTGCTTACCTGATTAAAGCCTTCGTGGGCCCCATCTATTTTTTGGACTTCTCTGTCGCTGCTCCACGCCATGTCTCCCTTTCCTGTTGAGTCGTTCGCCTCTTAGACAGCTGGAGTGGGCCGCTCGACTGATTCCTGATCGGTCCCGCCGGGACCGATTTTGTAACTGGCATAACAAAGAAATCTTACAGGTTCACTGAGTTGGCTTGTTTGAGCCATCATGTAGGTTAAGTGAGCATTCATGTATCCTTGCTTGAGTTCGGTTTTGACTTATTGGGTTCATATGAATCTTCTTATTTCTCTGTGCTTGCATGTCAAAATAGCGAAGTATCCTTTACATTCACCACTTAGATTGTGTGTTGAATATAGAGAGAGAATTTATTCTAGCCCAACTCATGTTGACTTCACTTTAGGTTCACCAGGTTTATTAAACTATGATTCAAACTTGAGCTTCATTAAGCTCATTGTAAGCTTGAGCTTAACCAGATAGATTGCCCTTAATTAATTACTTTACTTGATTAATTGTTAATGGCATAGCTTAGGTAGATCAATGGATAAGCGTCTTGCATAAACGCAAACTAAGATTTTTTAAAATAAAATAAAATAGAATAAAATGGCTGTAATGAGTGGGCTTGATGAATCATCAAGTTGAGTGACGTCCATCTTTAACTCGATCTCATATGTAACATGACCTTTAAGCTATGCTTGAACTCTAGTTGGCGGTTTGATAAGCCAAGCTTATGAGCTCATAAACGAGTTGAGCTCAAGCAATCTCACAAGTCAGCTTGCCTCGATCACAACCCTAGTTACTTGTAGTATTGAGCTTATTTTAGACATGTTTGCACCAACTTCTTTTCATATGAATTTTGGCCTATTAATATTTCTTCCCAGCACTTTCACAATAATTCTATCAATTTGCACTATTTATACACACTTTTTCCTCTTCATTGTATGTGGCTAAACCATCCGTGCCAGCTATTTTTCACCTGTATTGAATGCATGCTACTCCTATATTACTATTATATAATAGTTTTATGGTTATACTTTCATGATTTTTAGCACGTTCATATAAATTTTAACATTTTTGGCATAGCTAATTTGACTATTTTTTACTTCCTTAGTACCCAAAACTCCAATCCACGTGCAATAATGGTTTACATATGATTACTAAAAAATGTCTAATTTTAATTCTTATTCTCTCACCATATAGTCCTACAGATATTCTTCTTCAATTTAGCTAATCAACTTCAGCTCTTGAAGTCGAGCCATCATTTATTTTTTCATGCTTTCGTGCAAGTAATTTTATCAATTTAGTTGATATCAATGCCTTCAACAATGATGAATTGAACTGTTTCGAAACCATTCCTCAGAAATTTTGGCATGAAAATTTCTTATTATCGCTTTATAAATCTCTTCAATTACATATATCAAAATCTTCTTGTTCCTCTTTATGTATTACAAAACAGTGAAGAATCTTGTAGACTTCGGCTTCATTTGGTGCCTTGTTACAGTCTGATTATGCAAAAGAAAAACAGCCAACAAAGCATATTTTTCCTTGTCTTTGTCAAAATTTGATTCACAAAAGCTGTTTTTGAGAAACTGGAAGAGAATTCTAAAAATATATGATATAAAATGCAGATAAATTTCAGCCATACCTAGGTTCCACGTATCAACAATGGAGCAACTACGACAAGTTGGGGAAGCCATTGGAAGTCTCAACGCTTACAAGGTGTTCCAAGATGAGATACAGATCAACCAAAGGCAATGCTGCTTGCTCATTGATGCTTTCAACCTCGCCTTTGACGTCATTACTGATGAGATAAAGCAGCACCTAAGCTATGACGAAAATCGAATAAAATGGAAGGAACTTGAAAACCCATTGAAAGAGCTCCACAGGGTGATCAAAGAAGGTGAGTACTACGTTAAGAAATGCTTGGAACCTAAAAGCTGGTGGGTAAAGGCCCTTAGCCTCAACTTAAACACAGACTGTGTTGATTTCCATCTGCACAACTTGTTGTGGTGCTTGTTTATTGTTGTTGAGGCCATTGAGAATGTAGGAGAAATTAGCGGCCAAGACACTGACACCATTCAGTGGAAAATAACTGCTTTCTGGAAGAAGTACGAGCAGTCGTGGATGGAACCAAAACTCTTCTTCCATCGTTTTGCAAAGCTTTACTTGGTTTCTCAGGAGATGTGCAGTTCTTTTAACAGTGTTGGGAAGGAAGACAGATGGCTACTCACTGAGCAGATATCTGAGAAGGAGACCTCCATTGCTTTAAAAACGCATGAAAGCCAGGTTGCTGAGCTTCTGTTGGCTCCAAGGGATACGCTGCACCCCATGTCAATGATTTTGGAATCAAAAAAATTCCAACAAGGAAGAAGATTAGGAAATGGGAGTCAGTATAAGGAGGCTGAATGGATGGGCGAATCATTTGCTCTTCATCACTGCTTTTCTGATTTGAATTCCATGTCACCTGAGATCTCTCTTCTTACTTCAGTCATGCACCCCAATGTATTGAACTATATGTATGCTTTCTCAGATGAGGCAAGGGTGGAGTATTATGTTCTTATGGAGCTCATGAACAAGAACCTGCTCAAATACATAGGCGAAGTTAGTTCTGCAAGAAGAAGAATTCCTTTCCCTCTACATGTTGCAGTAGACATTATGCTTCAAATTGCGAGAGGGATGGAGTATTTGCATTCCAAGAAGCTGTATCACGGAGATCTAAAGCCTACAAATATTCTCGTCAAGGCGAGAAGCCCCCCATCAGACGGTTACTTGCATGCTAAAATCACCGGATTTGGGAAATCAAGTAATAAAAACAAATGGCATTCGCAGAAATCAACGATGCAAACAGACAAGAATCACTGGATCTGGAACGCACCTGAAGTATTGCGGGAACAGGAGCAGTTCTCGACCTCCCAATCTGCAAGGTTTACCGAGAAGGCCGATGTTTACAGCTTCGCAATGATTTGCTTTCAGCTGCTCACCGGCAAAATCCCGTTTGATGATGATCACATGCAAGGGGAGAACGTGATCAGGAACATAAAAGAAGGGCTGAGGCCATTGTTCACTCCTGATCCTCCGAAGTTCCTCAGCAATCTCACCAAGAAATGCTGGCATTCCGATCCATCGCAGCGGCCGAGCTTCTCATCCATATGCCGCGTGCTTCGTTACACCAAGAGGCTCCTCATCAAGAACCCAGATGTCAACCTGAACCCTCCTGTCGATTACTTCGACATCGAAATGTCCCTGTTGACGAAATTTGAATCGTGGACGACAGCGGAGGAGGCGAGGGTTTCGGAGGTTCCATGGCAGATGTTCTGCTACAGTGTTTTGGAGAGGCAGAGAATGGGGAAGAATCCATTGGAGAAACCATCGGAGACGGAAAGCGAACAAAAATCTGCTTGTGGAGATGAGGCTGCGTTGCAGAGGTTGATTCAGGAGAAGGTTTCTAAAGCCGACATTCTTACGAAGTCGTCGTCTCTGACGAAGCTGGACATGGAGCCCAAAAGTCCCACACCGCGAAGTCCCGGAACTCCCAGTAGGTTCTCGGGTAATTTTCTGAAGCAAATTTTTTTTTAAAAAAAATATTTAAAATTGAGCCCACTACCATACATTTTTTAAGCTCAAGCCATTCTAATTTCAACCAAAAATAATAAAAAATTATTTAATATAAAATATTATTAAAAAAAATATTTAAAATTGAGCCCACTAACATACATTTTTTAAACTCAAGCCATTCTAATCTCAACGAAAAATAATAAAAAATTATTTAATATAAAATATTATTTTTTAAATACTTTTAATCATTTAGAGATGGAGTCCTGAAATTTAATATATTTTGAGTATATTATATATTAATATTTTTTAAACAAACGGACTCACTAGCTAATCAAGCTTAGTTTACGGGCTAGACTTGTTAGCTTATCAAGCTTAGTTTACGGGCTACCGGCTTTTGAGTCGGCTTGACTCACACCAATAATTTTCACACACTAAATTATATATTTACATATGTAGCACATAAACTTTACTTTTTACATTTGTACCGCCCGGACCATACTACCATTTTTAATTTTTAAAATTGTAATACACATTTTTCAAACATAAATAGCTGCTTGAAGTATCTTTTTGCTCTCAAACTTATACCCATATAGTAATAATATCACCTCCAAGTTTTTGGTAGAATCACATAAGCACTTATTTTCTATGTATTTACATATCTAACACACACACCCACCCATATACATACATACATACATACATATAATCACAAAAAAAACCTAATTATTGTCTCAAATTGCAGGGCAGAAGCCGAAAGAGACACCAAGAAGACAACCTCAGGCTCTGATTCGCGAACGAAGTCAGAAGAAGATAGCTGAAAGCCCTTTACGTAAATCCAGTTCCGCTAGAAGAACTTCATCAGACAGCCTTTCGACAGAAGCCGATGCTCCATAGCTTCAAAGAAATATGTTTTATAGTATGCTCAGAGAGCCCTTTGGAGACTCAATGTTTCTCATTTTCTCCTAATTTTCTTTTTTATGATTTTTAGCTGTTTGCTACACTTTTTGCTGTTTTTTTGGTATTGTTTTTCTTCATTTTTACATTGATGATCTGCAGACAGTGCTGATACATGTTTTTGCTTTGTTTTTTAGGGAGCCATTGATTTGGAGCTTGTTATTATTGTTATTTGTGATTTTCTTGGCTTTATATATATATATATATATATATATATGAGCTTTGCTGATTTGCATGCATATTAGAATTCTTATGATTTGCATCCTTTTGATCCATATATTTTGATTTGGTTTTAATACAGGGTGATATACGTGTGAGTATTGAATTTTTAAGTTTTAGATAAGTAAAAAAATAAAAATTATTGTAGAAGATTGCAGGGTGTTGTTCGTTTTATAAGGAAGAATTATACATTTTGTATGTTAAAAAATGATCTACACGGATCTCATGACAAACTGGTGGTTCAATATAAAGGGACTAGAATGTCTTTTGCCTTCCTCTTTAAAGCGAGATTAGATATGTAATTTTTTAAATTTTTCACTCATATCTTCTATAAATAGGAGGGATTTATGATATATAGAGACTTTTTGTTCCACTCACCTGTAATGAATTGTTTTGTGGAATAAAATGGGTTGGTGAACCCGGGAACACCCCTTTTTTTTCCCCCGACGGGTGAAATCTTCATCTTCTTTCTCTCTTTTTTCCCCTCTTTCTGTAGAGACTTTTTGTTCCACTCATCTGTAATGAATAGTTTTGTGGAATAAAATGGGTTGGCGGACCCGGGAACACCCCTTTTTTTTTCCCCGACGGGTGAAATCTTCATCTTCTTTCTCTCT